CCTACAGTTCTCCATCTTGTCAAGAAAACTAAATTGCTATGTGTGGGACTTGAAACCTGGTCCGCCATGTGAGTTTTGGCCTCCTCCCCACAGTGTTTAGCTGCTGCCCTGTGGGCTGGCCCCAGAAAGAATATGTAGTAGTCTTTTAAAGAATACATTGTAATTGGCTTAAGTTGAAGTTCCGGCTAAACTCCTCTCTATTCCACCTGGTAGATGACAGTAATAGAGGGTTTTGGAACCTTCTGTGCCCTTTACTAGCAGTTCACTCTCACAATTACACCATAAACTTCAAAGGCTGTTTGCAGGACAAGAAAACTATTCTCCATTTGTGAGGAGACAGGTCATGAAATAGAAGAAATATTGTTAACAATAATGAAAGTGAAGACATAAGGAGATGAGGGCACCATTAGTTATTTTGAAGAAAGCACAAATCTGCCTGCATTCGTGGTAATGTCTTAAAGGGCCATTAGAGACTGGGTTTTATTTTTATGATGACAGAGTATGCCTAGTCTGTGTTTGACTTACACCTATTTACTGATTAATAGGCACATACCAGTTTAAAACCCCAGAATCTTCTCCACCGGGTACACCAATTGGCAGGATCAAAGCTAGCGATGCCGACGTGGGAGAGAATGCAGAAATTGAGTACAGCATCACAGATGGTGAGGGGCTGGACATGTTTGATGTCATCACTGACCAGGAAACCCAGGAGGGGATTATAACTGTCAAAAAGGTAACATTGCTGCTCAAGTACCACGCGAGTGAATACATTCATATTCTCTGTTTCCCAGGTTACCGGGGTAATTACATCTCACATAGATTCTTATTTTCCTAAGGATTTTTTTAAAGACTTATTTTATTTGACTTTATTTTTTATTTACTTATTTATTTATTTATTCATTTATTTTTGATCATAGAGGGACAGAATGAAAGAGAGAGGGAAGGTGAGAAAGCAAGCCGCCAGGTTTGGGACTCAAATGGCCATCAGCCATGTGGGAGTCAGGTGCTCTTAACTACCAAGCCACCTACCAACCCCTTACTAAGGAGTTTTTAAAAACATTCATTTTAATTACACTGAGATCTCTTGGATTAGCTTTTAGGAGTACAAAATCATCTATGCATTCATTAAATAGATACTTTCAATACATTTTTGTTAAGAAACTCCTAAACAACTAAATAATGTAAGCAAATTATATACACAAAAATACATAAATAATATAATGAACATTTAATAACAGTGACAGATAGAGGTCACTATACAGATATAGGTCCCAGAAGTGCCACGGCACATCCAACAATTGGTGCTCAACTGAGTATCTTCCCGTAAAGGGAGGAAAGGAGAGAGAAGCAAGTCAACAGATGGATACCTACAATTGTACTCCATGCTTTGAAAGAAAAGAGTATTGCAATTAGTAATCAAGATGATCCAAATTAAGGAGAAAGCATCTATAATGACCATAAATTTAAATGAAGAGGCACAAATGTCCTTCAACCTCTTCAGCTACTTTCCAGAACACAACAGTGATAACACTTCCATGTTCCGAATTCCTATTTTTCGCCAGTGTTCTTTTTCATGCTTTTACTCCCTAAAAATGTCTAGCACTACAGAAAAGTATACGGAAGTGTAGCAAAAATTAAAAATCAGTAGAATGTGTGTTTAAGGCTAAAAATACACTAATTTTAGTTACATTTTTATGATTTCACTTTATCCTGTGTAGTGTATTATTTTCTCACTCCTCTAGCACAGTATTATGTTTGCTGGTCATATAAACACACATAGACATAAATAACAAGCAAACATTTTTTCCTCTTAAACTGTGGGTTACAAGTCTTCATATCTGAAAACACAATGAAGAATGTTTAAATGACACTCAGACCAATGTCTTCTACCGTAATATAATTAGAAAGCCCATTAGCGTGCATTAACCTTTTTAATTTTCTTGGTGCCTTATCAGATTTGAACCAAAATTTTGCCTCGCCAACTAAATCCCATTCACTAAGGTCTTGATTAATTGTGTTTCTAGTGAGCCTTGTCATAGTCTCATCTAAAACTAAAAGTCAGCAATAAGCATTTGGGTTCGCTGTGTCTCCAGAAGTAGAGATGCTTTCCCTAAAGACCTTTGTCAACAGTGATCATCACTTTTTGGGGGCAAATAGCTAGCCCAGTGTGCTTATCAGAATATCACTTGGAATATTTTATTACTGCATGCAAAAAAAAAAAAAAAAGATCATCTATTTTATCTGAGTAAAGAGGAAGAAATGACAATGCAAACTTGCAGTTCTGAATTCTGGCTGCACCTAAGAATCCCCAGAAGTGTCTAATAGTGTAGATATTTTGGTTTAATGATTCAGGGTGATGTGCAGGTATTGACAAGTTTTAAACACTCCTCACTTGCAATTAAATACAGATGTGAAAACATCTGTCATAGGATAACCTACTGCATAGCTACCAACTTGCCTCTGACAGATCCCTTTAGTCAAATATGATTGTTTTTACGGGAACAGGAATTGAGCTGTAATGAACTCCTGCTTCTGGGTCCCCTTCCTGCCAGGATGACATCTTGCACCTGAGCAAAATGTGTCTCCATGCCACAATCCACCCCCAGCTTCAGCCAGCCAGGGTCATGAGTGTATGCATCACCATGCCCAGGAAGAACTCAGGATGTGAACCCAGGAACTCCCCCCATGATAGCAGCATCACCACCATGGCTGGTCTGGCACCCACTTTCAGTCCACCACCATGGCTGGTCTGGCACCCACTTTCAGTCATGGTTTTAGCCCACATTTTTATCAGGACTGCATGACATCTGAATTCCTTCACAGACTTTATAATAGGTTCCCTCCTGCTGGTCTAGGTTTGGGGAAAAATGTAATTACACATTATCTTTACCGCCTTTGCCCAGTATTACACTATTGTGTAGTGATTTCTGTAAGCAATATGACCACATCCTTTTGTGATTTGCACTAAAAATGGTTCATGTCTTGTTTTTTTTTTGTGCCTTGGTTGCTTTAAAAGATGTCCCTTTTCCCCTCAAGCTCCTGGACTTTGAAAAGAAGAAAGTGTACACCCTCAAAGTGGAAGCCTCCAACCCTCACGTTGAACCCCGATTTCTCTACTTGGGTCCATTCAAAGACTCAGCCACAGTTAGAATTGTGGTGGAGGATGTAGACGAGCCTCCTGTCTTCAGCAAACTGGCCTACATTCTACAAATAAGAGAAGATGCTCAGATAAACACAACAATAGGTGCGGTCACAGCCCAAGATCCAGATGCCGCCCGGAACCCCGTCAAGTAAGCACATTTCTGCCACTTGTCTCTTTCATAAGCTTCAGTTGATTTATATTCAAATATCCACCTGCATGTTAGAAAATATGAATATCTTCTTTTTCCTTCCAGACAGTTGTGTTTTCCTGAAAAACTACTCTAAACAGCACCTTTAACGCTCCTTGCTCACTGCATAAATATTATTTTAGCAACAGTATAAACCTAAAAATCCTCACATTTGAATGAAAAACATAAAATGAACTATAAAGTGTTTACTGCTGAAATAGAAATAATACAAGGTGATGCAGCTGAATGGCCTGGGATTATTTTTTTAAGATTTAAGCTGCTTTTAAGTTTAAGATTTGTCAAAGAGTGGTGTGAAGAAAGCATCATGATTTTTTTTAACAGACCAGGCACTGGGTTTGAAAGAGGTTTTTCAAGTGTGGAAGAACCTATCCTTTAACACTTAGAGGCAGAATTATGCTCCATATGGATGCATAAATTTTCCCCTTGCAGATGTAGATAAAAACAAGAACTGTTTCATGATGTATGTCTGTGAAATCCTGTGGAAATTAATAAAGCAGAATCCAAATTTATCCTGTGTAAGCAAGCTCTATTTTCCTGTACTTTCCTAACACCTTAGTTGTAAATCACATTGCAAGAAAGCCTCGTTGCTCTTTGGGACCACCAATGCTTCAGTATGTTAAAATCTTATCCTGAGAACACGGGAGCCCCCCAGCCTCTAGCCTTTAGCCGACAGCTTAGCTGACTAAATGAGAAAAGTGTTAAACTAGAATATCATCGTTTAAATTCCTCCCCATAAATAAAGTAAGCAGATTGAAGCACTAGAGGAACTCTTGTGAGTGAGTCTAATTCTTTTTTTATTTTTTAAATTTTGCCAGAGAGCGCGCGCACTCACCAGAGGGAGACCTAGAAAGGGAAAGTGAGAAACTACCCCCTCCATGAGGAATGGGCACGCACACACACACACACACACACACACGCCGGGCATATTTTTCAAGCTGCCAGGTCCAGGACTCTTACTGCACAGTTGGCTATGTAGGATCCAGCCACCTTTACTACCATGCCGCCAGCTGACCCTTGAGTCCAGTTCTGATCAGGGCACCTGCTATGTGCCAGGCATGTTGTAGGCACTAGGGAATGCAGCTGACAACTAGAGTAAGCCCTGATCTTATGGAATGTATGTATTAATTGGGGCAGACAGGATAAATAAGTAAATAGCCAGGGGAAAATAAATTTCTAAGCAATAAAAACAGTATAGAAGCAAAGAGAAACTGGGGTACTATTTTACTTATATATTTAGTTATGTATTAGATTTTGCCATTGGGATTTATCATACTACACATTAGAATATCTATAAGACACATTGAATTGAACTATGGTCAATTCTTAGTAGCCACATCTGAGCTCTGAGCTCCATAAATCAAGTGTTTCTCCATATACATTTTAAGTTTATTTTATCTGAGAAAAAGAAAGAGAATGAAGTACCCCTCCCCCAACAGGGTCCTCATGCCTAATCTCATCAACCAGCATGGATCATGCATACATGCATGCATGCCCAGCAATGTACAGAGAGGTTCCAGGATGTGAACCCAGGACCTTCCCATGTGAGTCTAGTTGTATTACCACTGTGCCACCACCTGGTCCCTCTATATACATCCAATATTATTAATAAGAAAAACGAATGATGGCTTTCACTTAGATAGCACAGATAATTTAAGTACTTTCACAGTTCTCTCACTTAGCGTTTATTCTAACTGCATAAGGGAAAAAATCTTAGCAAGTCAGTGTCAGGTCCAAATTAAAAGTGTTAATGCTAGAAGTTTACAAATATGAGCTTCTGTTACCTCTTTGTTAAATCAACATGTTTTTAATTGAAAGAGATAATGTCTTCTGGGAATTTAGGCTCTATTTATATGTCTGAATTATATTTTATAGCAAATACCATTTTTACCCGCTGCATTTATTTTATGTTTTATGAAAGGAAGTACTTAGCTTGTCAGACTAGGTTGGTTGTCAGCTAATTTTAAAGTGTTTTGGTATCAGCCTTTCCATGATACATATGGATTTGATATATAGATATAGATTTAAGGCTAGAAATACACATAGATAGCTTGGTATATAAATACATACTTCAATGATTCCTTTTATAAAAATAAAATTCATTCTTATATTAGAAAGTATATTAGTACATAGTTTTGGGTTATTTGAGACATAAATATTGAACAACTAGGTGCTATACAATATGTTAGGTGCACATTTACTACTAGAAACATCAACCTGGGACCAGCAGGTGGCATGGTGGTTGAGGTGCTAGATACTTCCGCATGACTGATCATGGTTCAAGTCCTGACCTGGTGGCTTGCTTAATCACTTTCTCTCTCTCTCTCTCACTCTCTCTCTCTCTCTCTCTCTCTCTCTCTCCCCTCTCTCTGTATGTGTCTCTGGTCAAATTAAAATAAATGAATGAATAAATAAAAATTTTAAAAAAACATGGTCCCCCATTGATTTATCATTATGCGGACACAACTGTTGAACTGTTTAATCACATAAAATATTTTTTTTCCAACAACTGTATCCCCTGGCCCTTTGATTTGCATGAGAGGATGTTATAATATATCACCATAAATAGGGATTATGAAAAATTTACATGCAAACATCTCCCTTCCTGGTCCACAAATCTTCTTGACTTGAGGATACATTAGATGACAAATTATTTAATACAAGAATAAAATGAAGTTTTGGGGTAGAACGGGGAGCTGCCTAGAATAGTTATCTGCTATAATCATAATGGGGCTGATTACCTATTCTTCATCAGTGATGATTACAATTAATGTAACCGGACAGTAAATCTCCTTAATATTACTTCCGAAATAAAAACAACAAACTGGTAAGGCTTTGTTTGCAAGCGTCATCCCTAAACAATATAGGCATTGTAGGTTTCCTATTAATTTTTAAATCTGCCAATAAAAGGAAAAAAATGACAATTTTGGTATTTCCTAAATACTTTCTCTTTCAAACCAAAAACTGTCTTCAACTAAAAATTTTCACTTGTTACCTTTTATCTCAAGGCTCAATGGGAAAATATGATTACTAATAAAACTTAAAACTAAAAGAGATACAGAACTAAAAATGATTACTGCTGTATAAAATTGTAACAGTTTATAAAGGCAGTAAGCAGTGTTTTTAAGCTTGACATTTTTCAAGAGAGAAAAAAATGCTTGTTGATAATTATTAAATTTCTTACAAAGTCTATGAATATTGAAATTTCCTCTTTGGTAATTAACTGTGTGCTATAAATATTTATCACTCTCAAATTAAAAATGAAGAAAGATGATCAAGTAAGTTTAATGTTGTTGTCTGAATTCTTAATAAATGTTGATTCATGACTACGCAAAAACAATAGCTGTTTCATCTGTTTCAACTCTTTTGATAATTAAAAACACTAGTTTATACAAACTGAAAGTAAAATTCCAACCTAACTTGACATATGTACCCATTGTGAACTTCTTTTATTCCCTTTAAAATCAAGTTTAAATAGCTTACAAATAATTGAATTTCTATTTCATTTCTACATCCACTACATAACAAAAAAAAAAACTTTATCAAGATAAAATATATTAAAAAAAAAGATAAAATATATTGTTTATTATAAACCAAAATAATTTATTGAAATGGAATCTTGGACATGATGTGATGTACTGTTGCAAATTAGTAACAATTTTTCTTAGAGCACTTATAACAATTCCGCATATGCCTGACTAGTTAAGTAGTTTACTTAAATTATATTTCTACTGAACTGACATTTTTGCATCTCATATTATAAGTTTCAAGAGTCCAGCTGAAATAGGTAGTATTTTTTCCTAATGGCCTCAAAATATCAACTTTTTTCACAGTTTTCTCTCTAATGCCCCCTCCTTATTCATAAACATACACACATACTTTGTCCCCTTACATAGCTATTTTAAAAACTGGTAATAAATTTATAAATAAGATAACAGTTCTCAAAGCCTGCTAGTTTTCCATCAATTTCAGGGTTGAAAACTCTGTCCTTCCTTGGTTTCTAAGATGCCACTCTTGGTGTCCTTTAAATTTATACAAATGCTCTTCTTTAAAGATTTACCAAGTTTCTAGTCTGTTCCAGGTACCTTTCTAGTCCTTGTGAATCTCTGGTGTCCAAGTGTTCTTTAAGTGATTCTGTCCTTATGTTTATTCTAGTTCATTCCATTGCTAATAACAAAAAATACCTGAGTCTTGGTAGTTTTTTTAAAATAGAGGTTTAATTCAGATCACAATCTGGAGGTGTAAGATCTAGGGGTTACATGTGTCTACATTTCAGCATGGTGGAGGGCAGGAATACATGCACCTGTGTCCATGTCTCTCTACCTTATTCCCTCTCCTTGAAAACCCACAAGGAGCCAGTCATGGGCCTCTCTCATAACCTTCATCCTAATCTATTCCTGAAAGTCCTATCTCTCAACACCATCTTTAGATTAAGTTTTCACCTTCTTACCCCCTTCACCACCAAATTTCAACACATATATGTTTTAAAAACATTCAAACCCTGGTAACATTTTTCTCCCTTTACTGGACATTCTCTCCCTAGACAATTAAACAGAAAATCTAGGTTGTCAGTCCAGATCTTTATCTTGAACTTCAGACTACCTACCTCCTCCTAGACTTTCCTCAGGCACCTCAACCTCAATGTATCAAAACTGAAACTTACAATCTTCCCCAAATCCTGCTCATCATTTCTCTGCAGTTTGTAACATGGAATGATCTTTGTTAAACCTGATTTAGACTGTGACACTTCTCTGCTTAGAACCCTTTGGTAGTTTCACACTGCATTTAAAAAAAAAAAAAAAAAACATACCAGCTCCTTACTATGGCCAGACCTCCCCTCTGCAGTCTAGACTCTAGATCTCTACCCCAATCTCATCTCCTATCTTCCTCTCCTGCCTCACTAACCTCAGCCACACCAGTCATCTTTTGCTTCTTTCAAAAGAACAATTTTTAAAATAAAACAGATAATAGATTGTCAGGCTCTTATCTGAGGGAGAGTTTGCAAATATATTCTTCCATTCTGAGGGTTGTCTCTGCACTCTAATTATTGTTTCTTTTGCTGTGCAGAACCTTTTTAACTTGATGTAATCCCACTTGTCTATTTTGGAGAGTATTGCCTGTGCTCTGGGTGTCTTATTTAAGAAGTCTTTGCCTACTCTGATGTCTCCAAGAGTTTCCCCTGTGTTTTCCACCAGTAGTTTTATAGTTTGAGGCTTTATGTTTAGATCTTTGATCCATTTTTAGTTGATTTTTGCTAATGGTGAGAGATAGAGGTCCAGTTTTATTTTTCTGCAGGTGGGACATCCAGTTTTCCCAGCACCATTTACTGAAGCTATTTTCTTTTCCCCACTGGATTATCTTGTGCCCTTTTTCAAAAATCAGTCGGTTGTACATTCGGGGGTTTATTTGCAAACTCTCCCTCAGATAAGGAACTGATAAGCAAAATATACAGGAAACTCAAGCAATTAGCCCACAAAAAAAAATTAGTATAATTAGAAGATGGGTAAATGAGCTGAACAGACAACTCTTCAAGGAAGACATATGGACAGTTAAAAACATATATGGAAAAAAAAATACTCAGCATTCCTTATCATAAGGGAGATGCAAATCCAAATCACAATGAGATACCACCTAATGCCAATCAGAATGGCTAAGTGCTGGCAAGACTGCAGTGAAAAGAGAACTCTCATATACTGTTGGTGGGAATGTAAATTGGTCCAGCCACTGTGGAGAATGATATGGAGGTTCCTCAAAGACCAACAAATAGAACTACAATGTGATCCAGCAATTCCACTCCTGGGTATCTACTCAAAGGATAAGCTTTTCAACTGAGTTGAAAAAAGACTTAAACATCTGTGTCTATTGCAGCATTATTCACAACTGCTAAAACATGTAGTCAACCCAAATGTCCAAGAACAGATAAATGGATTGAAAAAGTGTGTGAATATACACTATAGAATACTACTCAGCCATAAAAACACAATGGCCACTGGCACTTGATCAAAAGTGGATGAAATAGAAGATTTAATACAAAGCTAAGAAAATCAGATTATGAAAGAAAGGCATTGTATGTCCCCACTTAATATATACTGAATGTTAATGCTCTATGGCAGAAACTGAAAGATTGAAAGGTATAAAGACAACTGCGGATACTAGAGACAGTGTGGAAGGAGGATAGGGAATGGAAAATGAAAGGGGATATGGAAGAGATGGAATCAGAGGGAAACATAAAACAAAACATTAAACAGATACAAAAATGGAAAATTATCTGTTGATGATAATGTATATAGTAATATCTTTTAAAAGACTAATATGCAGTGTATACATACTGGGAAAATGTATTTGTATGCTATAAAGGTATACAGTGATTGAATGTAAAAAAAAAAAGCATGAGAGAGAATAGATAAAATAAAAGATAAAACAGCTAATAGAAAAATATACGGTACCCTACAAATGCACACACATGCACACATACATTAAAGTTCCGAGGCTCTAAAAACCTGAGTTAAATAGATAACAGTTACTATATACCCTTGATCCAAATTACATATTAAGGGAAAAAATTAAGGATGAAACTCAAAATCATGCAACCTCTCTACATGTTTACTATTAAAGACCTCAGTGGTAAAGAACTATTTTCTTAGAATATTTTGCTTAATGTTCAGTCGTAGATATCCAAATATACTCTGGGAATAGTTTCGTGTGTGAGAACAGCAAGTGCAAAAACAGCCTTTCTAACTTCTACTCCGTATTTGCAGATACTCTGTTGATCGACACACAGATATGGACAGAATATTCAACATTGATTCTGGAAATGGTTCGATTTTTACATCGAAACTTCTTGACCGAGAAACACTGCTGTGGCACAACATTACAGTGATTGCAACAGAGATCAGTAAGTCCATCCTGGTACCACTGCTGTCCCCAGTTGATGGAGAGTTCCAACAGGCGCTTCTTACGCATGGCTGAAATACATCCTGAATGATGATTCCCCTAAATACAATATGTATCGAGGG